TATATATATATTCATTTTCTATAATTATTTTATGTTTTTCTATCTTCATCAATAACAAAAAATAAAAAAATAAAATTTGGGCTAGAATGTAATAAACTATTTGCACTTTGTAGTCTTAAGTGAATTGATTAGTTATTGATTTAAGTGTTATAATATTTGTTTTGTATATTCAATTATAGTTTTTATTCGATTCTAATGACTACTTAATTTTAAGTGATGCAATTTTTGTTATTTTTTAGATAAAATCAGATTATGTATTTTATTAATTCCTATTGCTTGCTCACTATTAGAAAAATAAATTAATCATAAAAAATAATTATTGTCAGAATGAAAAATAAAAAAAATAATTAATTCAGTTTTTTTAATATATAAAATAAGGCCCTCTAAATAATTTAGCATATGCATTAATTTAATTTAATTTTTTTTTAAAAAAAATTATAAATTCTAAAATAAACAATTTCCCTAATTTAATTTTCCATAAATATTTCTAAATTTTAGTACATTTTGTAATATCGAAAGAAATAGGAAAAGTTGATTCCTTTTTTATCAATAAAAGAATCACGCTTGACATTAATTTCTAAGAAAATAAAAGTGAAACTATTTTGAAGAATATAGGTGAATAATTAATATGAATATATCTATGACCATATATTTAATATTAGACTCAGATGAATGAAGTGTATTTATGCCTTTTATACAAAAATTAGGGGTGTAAATGAGTTGAGTCAAACTTGTGTCAGCTTCGATTTGAGCTTGTGCTTGATTAATTTTATCGAGCTCGAGCTTAAGTTTAGATGTCCGTTCTAGCTAACGAGCTTATTTATCATAAAAGAAAGAAAACAATATTAATTTAACATATTGTTATAATAAAATGATAAATAGCATGAGTATTTTGAAAACAAATAATAACAAATTATTTAATATGAAATACAAAAAAAAATGTTAAAGATTTTAAATACTTTTAAAGGTAAAATCTTCAAATTTAATTTATTTTATATATATTTTATACTAATATTATTAGGAGTTATAGTAGAAAATAATTTATTCTTGTAAGAAGTTATTAGGAATAAATTATTTTCTTAGATTAAGGAAAAATTTTCTTTCCTATTTTATATTTATTTTCTTAGATTATGAATTATTTATTTTCATATTTTATGTTATTTTCTACATCTCCTAATAATTAATATGAATTGATTATTGGAGATGTTGAGTGATATATCTTTCATTTCATATCATTTTTTTTTATTATTTTTTCTATTATAGCATTCTTGTAAATGTTATTTATACATCTGTTCAAATCAATTAAATAATTACGTATTCCACATTATTTTGAATTTCAACATGGTATCAAAGTCTGATTTCGTACTTTAGCCATTGGTCCTCTTTTGAGAATTGTCAGACTCCCTTCATGCCATCCTCTGTGCAGGAAGGGAGGGGCACTCATCTTGATATTTGAAATAGGGATTTTTTTTCTTCTTCTCTCCCCGCAAGCTTTGTTTGCTGGTCGACCCTTATTGAATCGGGCGCTTCGACTCTGCCAGTCTCCAAAAAATCTGTAGTCGTCGGTTGCATCTCTGCTACTGAAACCCATTTATCTTCTCTCTATGTTGAAACACATGACATACAAAAATCAAAATTCAATTAAGCACGAACCTAGCAAAATTGATTATCCAAAAAAAAAAATAATTGCTTCCAACAGCCAACATGTATTCCTTTTTTCGTCGGTTCCATCCCTGTTGTCGAAACCCTCATCTATCTTCTCTCTAGGCTGAAACACATGACAGACAAAACTCAAAATTCTGTCAAGCTTGAATTTTGAGTCATTCTATAGGCACTGTAGAAACTGCAGTCAAAAGACAATCATAGTTGTCTACTTCCGTGCAAACTCCTTTGCATCATTACATGTAGGAGTTTTCAGTCTACCTACAGTTGTTGCAGTAACTGCAATCAAAGACAATCAAACTTGTCTACTTCACTGCAAATTCCATGCAACAATACTAGTAAGAGTTTTCCGTCTAACTACAGACACTATAGGAATTACAACTAATGTTATCTATTCACCTGCAAACTCCCTTGCATCATTACCTATAGAAGTCTTTTGTCTACCTAAACAAACACAGTAGAAAATGCAACCAAAGACAATTGCAGCACAAGATGAAGACTTCAAGTTTTACTTCACAGGATATTCTTCACCTGTTGTTTAATGTTTTCAAATTCAAGTTGAACGTCGCTTTCAACCATGTTTCAATTTGAGTGGGAGTGTTAGGAGTTATACTATAAAATAATTTAATCTTGTAAGAAGTTATAAGAAATAAATTATTTTCTTTAGATTAATGAGATATTTCATTTCCTATTTTATATTTATTTTCTTAGATTATAAATTATGTGTTTTCATATTTTATGTTATTTCCTATATCTCATAATAATTAATAAGATTTGATTATTAGAGATATTAGGTGATATATCTTTCATTTCATATCATTTTTTTATTATTTTTTTTATATTATAGGATTTTTGTAAGAGTTATTTATAACTCCATTCATATCAATAAAATAATTATGTATTTCACATTATTCTAAATTTTAACAAATATTTTTTAAGCAAGCAAAGGGTTAAGTCAGAGCTAGCTTGTTAGCTCATGGAGCTGAGTTCACGAGCTGCTTATTGAGCAGAGCTTGAGCTGACTCACGAGTGAGCTTGACTGGCTTACACTCATAACCAAAAACCCAATTAATTACCGTGCGGGCCAAATGAGTAATCCATTCGGGTAGTCCGGATTTCGACCCGCCCAAATAACTCCTGCTTCTCGCTGTCTCGCATCTGGCCTGCCTGGTTTCATTGTGTTGCTCGCCACTCGGCCAGTAACGGAGAGGGAGTCCGCGGATCACGTCCTCTACTCTGCTTCCATCTTCCAAAACCTTAATTCTGATTGTCGACGCTCTGTATCTATCCGTTTAGTTCCTCTCCGGAGCCGGAATCGCGAACTATAGCCGGGAAATATGGTACGTTTCTTCGAATTTCTTGCGTTTAACCGATTATTCGTGATAGAGAGTTGAAATGTGGATGATTGGGTTTGATGAAACAACTCCGTACATGATCTCTTCTTCAGTTATTGGTCCTGATTTACATAATGATTGGAGGGAACCCATTGCATTTTGTTATTTTGGGGTATAATTTTAGTGAGATATGCGTTATTTTTACTGACTAGAAACCTTTTGTTATTGCTGTGTCTTTTTTTAATTATGTGTTTATGGCGATGGCTGCAGCCTCTAAGATTGGAAATCAAGGTATTCTTTGTTTCCTTGCTGATGATTTTTTTATAGTAATTTTAGAAATTAGTTTTCGTATAAATTGGCTCCTGATGGTTTATTAACTCATATCGAGTTAACCCAAACTACAATAGAAACAAAAATATTATTACTGAATTTAAATATGATTACAATGATGCTCTTCAAAAAGGAAATAAATCATAACAAATATAAAACAACACAAACAAATATCCTAAAAGTATATCCCAAGGGTGGTGAATGCCAACTAAGTGGATCAGAATAACTGACGGAAGTGGCGGCAACAAGGGCATGCTAGTGGCGGCGAGGGGGAGATGCGAGAGTGCAGGGGCAACAAGTATGGTTGTTGTGCAAGGAGTTGGGGTGGATAGCGGCGGAACAGAAGAAAGGAGTTGTTCCCTGGTTGTCTTGGATGACAACGACACGGTGGATGGGCTGGAATAGCAGGAAGGAGGTGCAGTTTGGACGACAACAATCCGAGTGTTGTTGTGGGCGGCTGCAGTGAGGTTCAACCGCAGAAAGCGACGTGTAAGGAGGGCGAAGGGAGTAGGAGGACTATTGTTATCACCTTGGCAGAGAGATACAGCCGGAGCACCATCTGATCTCTCAGATACAACCCTCGAAGGGAAAAACAGATGTCAGTGACTGTCCTGACAGCAATCTGAAAGAAAAACACAAAATAATCCACCATAAACTCAACAAACATGCATATAAATAGACTCCAAGTAGGTGGGAAACATAAAAAGAAAAAGGGAAGCAGTGGGTAGCAATTTTGACTCCCAGTAGACGGGAATCGGGAAAGGAAGGCTGGGCGTGAGCGGCGAATCCGAACTCTAAGAAGGCCAACCGTTCCAACAGGAGGTTAGACAATACCCTCCTTACAACAGTTTAGTCAGTTCTTCTGCCAGCCGATTCAGCCTTCTCTCCAACCCCATGTCAGTCTCTCAAGGTTGGTGACTTCATTCGTCGAAGCTTTTGGTTTATCTTCTTCAATCCTAGTATCACCTGGGTTCAACTGTCGGCTACACTGTCTTCCAAAGCATCAGAGAAGTTTTATTCATTTGTGAGCATACCTCCAAATCGATCCGCTCTTCTGGGATCCCACAACTGAACTGAACTGAACTAAGTTTGCGTGTCTCGCCCATGCTGTTGAATATTTTTGAAGTAATACACGATCGGTTCAACCCGATTTGAAGTGAGTGTAGCCTGAATCTCTCCGAACGGTGGTCACCATGATGGTAAGACGTCGACCTTGATATTTTGAAATGCTCTCTGCCATTCTATCCCGTGTCTGGAGCTAGTGTCTCATTCTCATCATCCTCAATCATCACCAAAACTAGTCTCACCAATGTTTCTTTGCTGACAAAGGCGTCAGTGAGCTCGAGCTCTGCCGAAGGGACTATGCGCTTCCCATTCTTGGTGAAGGAATATGTGTTTTTGAATCCGTCGTGCTGAGTCCTCCGGTCAAATTGTCACAATCTTCCCAACAAAATGTGACAAACATCCATGAGATTACATCGCACCACACCTGATCCTGCAGTTGACTCCTAATTGAAAACTTCACTAAGCATCTCGGAACAATGCTAACTCAACTTTCCTTCTTTACCCATATCAGATAATATGGCTGAGAGTGTCTCTGAGTCATGAAGCCCAACTTCTCTACCATCTGCGTAGATGTCATATTCTTATTGCTATCTTTATCAACTATGAGACTACATATCTTTACGTTCAATGTGCAACATGTGTAGAATATATTATGATGAAGTCATTGCGGATCCCTTGTATTCTCAGCCTGTAGGACCAGTTAAACCACAAGTTTCTCTCCTTCATCCGGTAGCAAATGACACATCTTGCTCTGTTCCTCAGCTTTCTCCTTGTCGCTAAGCTCCTCCATGAAGCCTTGTTCGGTAAAAGACATGACTCGGCTTGTGGGGTAGTTGGAGGCAATATGCCCATATCTGTGGCATATGAAACTTTTTTGGCTCAGATTGTAGTAGGCATGGTACTCAGCTCAGGCTTATTCTCACTAAGGGTGGCTCTATCCTTATCTGAATCAACTTTTCCAACTCCTTGAGATGTGCTCCTACTGATGTCGCCAATTATAGATGGTCGTCTAGCTGTTGGCGGTTGCTTGTAGGAACTTCAAATAATAATTAAGTGAAAGATATTTCTTCTACATGACTTTCTCCATCTCATTCCATTTGGAAATCTTATTGTTGGCTCCTCTTTTCCTCTGTCACTGTAAGTTCTCTCACCACAAAGAGATAACTGTACCACATTGCTAATAGCGGACTTCAAGCCCCAAGGTACTGAGCTACATGCTATTCCTCCGGCTCATTTAGCTCGCATTTCATCTATAAGTGGTCAAGCCGAGCTGTGAACTTATCCACAGAAAGGTCTCTTTGTTGCAGAATGTGGAGTTTAAAAAACATATCCTGATGATAATGCGGTGAAAGATATTTATTCTGCATGACTTTCTTCATCTTCTCTTACTTGGTAATCTTACAGTTGTCTTCTCTTTTTCTTTGTCTCGCTAAGTTCTCCACCATAAAGAGGCACTGCTCTTCAATTTGATAGCACTAATTTGAGCCTCTTATCCTCTGAGACATCTTTATACTCAAAGATCTGTTCAATAGATTATAGCCAATCAATAAATTATTTTGGATCCATACCTTCCTCAAACTCTAATATATCTACATTGATTATGTGGTCTCTGTGCTCTCCAACTGATGTCTCATCTCCAGGCCTCCTCTGATACCAGATTCTGAAATGTCATGGTCTTTCATCTTTATCACTATCATCCTTCATATGGAAAGGGTTGAAATTTTCGTCTCTTTATCTCTTCGAATTTCCCTATCACCATCGAGGGTAAGTCCCTCATGGGTGTCATCCTTAATGTCTGCCAATCTTCACTGAAGTCGGGTGATATCTCGTTGTATCTTTTACCGGGTAGATTCAGACATGTATTCTCTTGGTGACATAGCTATTGTTTGGAGTGGGAGGTAAAAGACGGCGAAAAAAATGATTCGAGGTTGCTGATTTTGAAAATCAGCAAGGAGAAATTAGAATTAGGTCAAAGTTTTGGTTATAGTTTGGGAATATAAAAGAAAATTTTTAGGGGGGATAATGCGGATGTTAGGAAACCCTAAGTGAAGACTAAGGTTAGGCAAGCTCTGATATCAAATGATACCAGAATTAACTCAAATCATAATAAAAATAGAAATATTATTTTTGAATTCAAATAAGATTACAACGATGACTATTCAAACATGAAATAAATGATAACAAACATAAAATGACACAACAAACAACCTTAAAGTGTGTCCCAAGAGTGGTGGAGGTCTGCGAGAATGGCTAGTGGGGGTAGCTGCAACAAGGGCATGCTACTAGGAGCGATGGGGGATGCGAAAATGCAGGGGGAACATGGTTGTTGTCCTGGATGGTAACAACGAGGAGTTAGGGTGGATAGTGATAGAATAACAGATAAGAGGTGTTCCCTGATGGTCCTGGGAGGCAGCGACACGGTGGATGGACTGGAACAACAAGAAGGAAGTGCGGTTTGGGCGACAATAATGCTGGAAGGGAAGGAAGCAGGGGTGTGCAACTGGTAGGTTGAAGACTGCAGAAAACAACAATCTCATTGTTGTTGTGGGCGGTACAGCGAGGTGCAGCGGCAGGGAGCGATGTGGAAGGATATGAAAGGGAGTGTAAGGAAGATAATCACCACCTCGGGTGAGAGATACAACCGAAACACCACCCAATCTCTCATATGCAGTGCTTGAAGGGAAAAATGGATACTGACGACTGTCCTAACAACAATCTAAAAGAAAAACATACAATAGTCAACTCTAAACTCAACAATCATGCCTATAAATAGACTCCAAGTAGATGAGAAATAGAAAAAGAAAAAGGGAAGCAGTGGGCGGCAAATCCTGACTTATAGTAAGCAGGAATCAGTAAAGGAAAGGAAGGCGGAGCGTGAGCGGCGAATCCCAACTCTAAGAAAGGAACGGAAGGCGGGTATCAGGAAAGGAAAGGAAGGCGGGAGTGGGAGTGGCAAATCCAGACTAAGAAGGCTGACCGGTCTTGCAGGAGGTTGGATCAGACCCTCCTCAGGTCGTTTTAGTTGGCTCTTCTTTCAGCCGGTTCATCCTGCCTACTCCCCAAGCCCCGCATCAGGAATAGAGGAAGGTTGCGTAGAGGTCTGAAAGAGTGAAATCCATGGTTCTACATCCTACAGAGACATGGTAGAATAAATTGTTTTTTTTGTAAAATTTGCTTGCTATTGCGTCGGGCTACAACTCAGCTGAATATGGGTATTGTTTAACTTAAAGCTTTTCTCACCTTTTATTAACTTTGATATGTCTCACACAAGATTCTTGCAAGTCTTTACTCTTGAAGTGTTTGTATATGGAATTATAGTATAGGTGTGTTACTGTTCCTAGACTTTATTTTTTAATTCTTTGGATTGCTTGTCTTGCTGTGGTTGGCATTGATTTCTTAGATCCTCTATTGGTGTGTGAGAGCACCTCACCTCTCTCCTTTTACCTCAAAAGATTTTGTCTTAGGGTTTGTTTGGTGAAGTTGCAGTTCATCCAGCTTATCCAGATAAACTGTTTATCCTGATAAGCTGTTGATCACCAGTTGATCAAAATAAACTGGCTAGCTGCTTGGTTTTTGTATTTGGAAAATATGTGATTTGCAGCTATTTCTGG